TCGGTGAGTTTGAATATTTGAGAATTCAATAAATGCAGGAGTAACTGCTGATGGATGGGACTCGGCTGCCCCGCCACCAATGGCAGCTCCTGGAGTTGATATAATGCCTCCAGCTCCTGCTGCTCCGACTGGCTGGGAATTGTAAAAGAATTTTTTTCCTAAATTCGCCCTTTGAAGAGCTTTATGAATATTTATGTTATCGTTAACGGCACATCTTTTTTGTAGCAATACTTTAGTTTTAGAAATGATGATGTTGGCAATGGCAACAAAAGCAATTTGTTTAATTTAGTTGATAATGAACCGATAGCATCTTGTTGCAAGGAATGCTTGGTACACGTTAGTGAATGGACAAGATTTTTAGTTTTTCCTTTTTGATAGTATTTTCCATTTGTCTTTTTTTTTTGTTTCGATTTTTCTTAATTGATGTTTGAAAATTAATTTTTAAAAGAACTTGTTTTTTCCTTTTCAAATTAGCTTATAGGGAGTGTCATATTAGATCAGTTTTTTTTTTAATTGATCAAACGCGTTCAAAAATAACTTTTGAATTTAAAAAAAAATCTAATTTTTTTATTCTTTTCTAAAATTATGTCAAATGCGTCCTTAATTTATGACAACAATTTAGGCTAAAACAAAAGAAACTGGGAAAATTCGGGAAAGACAAAATTTTCAGGAGTTGTTCTCTTTGTGTTTCAGTTTTGTATTTTTAATTTTGAATTCATTTTGAGTTTTGTGTTTTGAGTGTTCATTTTGAAATTGTTGAAAATGTGTTCTTTTTGGCATATTGAAAAATTATTTTGAAAACATCTAAAACGCATTTTGAAAATTTTGACTTGATTATAACTGAAAACATTAACTTGTTTTCAAAAACGCGTTTTCAGTATTTTGGAAAATCGAAAACAGAAAACGGCTTGAAAATGGAAAAAAGAACATACCCTAAACAATTTGCCTTGCGCAACAATTTGCCTTGCGCACGCGTGTGAAAGAACGTCAAGTTGATCTAACTTGTCCTAACTAGTCCATGTTGTTATTTTTCACCTTTTGTGAATTTAGGCTCCGTTTGGGAGCCATTCTTCTTCAAATAATACATTTTATCTTTCACATCAAGTGGGGTCCATGGAGAATGTGTGGTTGAAAAAGAAGGAAAAGTTATTGATGTGATGGAAAATATTATTTTATTGAAGAATGTGTGGTTAAAAATGAGTAGAAGAATGAGAATGAAAATTTTAATGGTTNATATTATTTTGGCAGAATGTATTTTGAAATAATAGATTGATAGAGAGTGTGTGGTTGAAAAAGAAGGAAAAGTTATTGATGTGATGTAAAATATTATTTTATTGAAAAATGTGTGATTAAAAATGAGTAGAATAATGAGAATGAAAATTTTAATTGTTACCAAACAGAGGCTTAATATGATTTAAATGACATTATATGTTGAAGAAAATGTACAGATGGTGTAAAAAATGGAGAAATGAAACAAAGATTTACAGCTAAAAATTGATTATTATTTTTAAACAAAAAATCATTTCAAAAATTAAAAACAGATTTTTGATCGAGAGCAGAAAGAGAGAGTAACAATTATTTTGATTTACTTTAAATTTCAAAATTATATGCGTGGACCAACTTGGCAGGCCCTTATGGATCGTTGGGGCTCGACAATCAATCCTAGACGTGTGATGTATTACGGTCGACAAACTTCTGAAGTGAACCAACCCAATTTCAAATGAATATCAAATGAAGCTTCTTGTTAGAGAGGCGAAATGTAAAACAGCAGATGGCTCTTTCTTGACAAATTTCAGTCCCTGCATCACCTAAAGCTTCTTGTTTGACGACGATTATTTGAAAACTCTTTTTTCTATATACTCATTTTCAATCATATATTTACACAATAAAATATTCAGCGCATAAATCAAAAATTTTCTTCATTTTTAACCACACGTTCTGTCTAAAAATTACTATTCAGAACATTATTTTGGCCAAATAATGAGCATCAAACAGCAGCTAAGATATAATCGTTAATACTAAGCCCTTGTTTGACATCATTTAGACATTTACTTTAATTTAATTTATTTGGCATATTCATTTTCAACTACACATTCACACAATAAAATATTATATACGTAAACCCAAAATTTCTCTCTACCTTTTAACTACACATTCTCCAAAAAAATACTATTCAATTTTCTTTTTTTTTTTAGCATGTCAAACAGGGGCTTAAGGACACAATAATCACAAAATAGCACAAGCCTTTTTTCAGGTTATCTGATCCAAAAATACTACACCAAACAAACTTAAAATTTGTAAACTTAAATAATGACTATAGTCAGCATACAAATGACATGAAAAAGTAAATCTTAGTTTTAGGACGATAAGCACCAACTAATGTGACGATTCCATACTCGATTCAAGCCTTAATTGTCACGCCGTATTGGCACAAACCCGATGGTTTTATCTCAGAAGTCTGCCATTGAGACCCCGGAGCCGCATTCGGATCAGACAACAGGGTGTTATAACCCGGATACTCCTCTACAGGGAACAGCAAAAGCTTACCATTTAGTGTGCCAAAATTGAAACCCAATGCTCGAACTCCCAGTCAAGGGAACCGGCACCATCTTCCATAGATTGTCCACAAGGTTGAATATTGCTAGCTTCCGTTGATTCTTCCACTCCATGCAAAAGAGCTCCTTCCCAAGCACGGCTTGAGCAGTAACCATGTCACAACCATTTTCATCTCACACCATGTGTGCATCTCAGGGTTGTTATACACATCGATAAATTTTGAGTTTCCAATTGTGAAACTTGACCCCCCGCCCATAATGTAAAGCTTTCCCTCAAACCCACATGCAAAACATCCCCACCTTTGGCGGTGTAGACTATCGGTTAATGTCCACTTGTTAGTATCCGGGTCGTACACCTCAGCGCAAGAGAGAGAGCCATCCGGGCAGTATCCTCCAACAGTCCAACTGCATAAACCATGCCATTTAACTCGGCACAAGCAAAGTTGTACCGTGCCACGTTCATGCTAGCCAATTTGCTCCAGCTACCACAAGAATTAATTAGTAACGATATATCAAAAACAGACCAAGAAAGAAAGCTATTATATTTTCTGGATCTTTCGTTTTGCAACAATCAGATAATCAAGAGATACATGATGTGCGAGAAATTTCTAGCATGACTATTTATGCATGAAGTGAATTGAGACATAAGCATCGATTCCAAAAATTATAGATCTCGAAAGAAGGCATTAAAATTCATGTATGCAGATGATATTAATGGAGTACCAATATCAGCTCGCAAAAAATCATAGCTCAGTGTCAGGGGCGGACCCACATGGGGTCATGTGGGGTCAAATGACCCCAAATTTTTATTTTTATTTTTTGTTTTCAAGTTTTTTTTAATTATTGTAACTGGCCCAACTTCCCAGCCTAAACGTCAAACCAAAACACTAGCCCAGGCCCAACACCGCATTCCCTTATTTCTTGCCCAATTCCTGAACCATTACCTTACCACGACTTCACTCTCCCTGCCATCTCCCGATTTGAAGCTCGAAATCACCATTTTCTCGAGTTCAAGCTCGAACTCAGCCTCTCCAGCCG